ATTTTTTCCTGCATCCTAGTTGTTTTAAAGGGATCTTTTCTTACTTTTTCACTAGCTGCAATGGTGTCTTTCAGGTCAGAAAGTCTATTTTCACTTTCACGCAAACGGTTTTGCCAGCTTGTGATTGAGGATTTGATTTCCTGTATATCACTTTGAACCTGTTTCACAGATTCTATTTCTTTCCTAAATTTTTTATTCAGGGGTTCCATCATTTTTATATTCTCCTCTATTTTTTGATCAGTGTATTCTTTAGAAGCACTTAGTACTTCTTTGATTATAGTTACCACTACATTTTTTAGTTCCGAAATTATTTCTGATCTGATTTCTTCTATACTTTTCTGCAGTTGATTCTTTACTGTCAACGCTATTGTTTCAGAGATATCTGGTGTGTGATTTCCAGTTTCCTCAGTGCTAGTGTCTTCTGCATTTGTACTGGGTGGACTCGAGGCCTGAGACTGAATTTATTCCTTCTCTTTGTCATTTTGTATACCACTGTGTTCTGACCTTTGGTGTAGAGCTTAGATAGAGTTATTACCTTAGCACTAGGTCTGGATCTACGAAGTTCGGATTCTTCCAGGTGGGTGTTATTTGGATCTGGCTGCTGTGCTCCACTTCTTTCTGCTGCAGGCGTTAGAGATGAACCCTTTGTGTCTCTCTGGGAAGATGTTCTGCACCTGAATCAGCTGGGTGGGTCTTGCCTCTAGCCTCTTTGCAGGGAGTTCTACTGAAGGGTTCCCTGCTGGGCCTGCAGCCTGGGTGGAATGAGGATCCGCGGGCCGGATCATCTCACTCACTCACCGGGCCTGCACTCTGGGTCTATTCAGGATCCCGCGGCCTGGGTCATCTCACTCACTCCCCAGGCCTGCGCTCTCCTAGTCTGTATTCTGAGGGACTTTTAGAAACTTATCAGTTGACTTAAATATTGGTAATATCATCTTAAAGGTTGTGGAGGTAACTGCTATCATGTATTTTATTTCAAAAATGTCCTCAGTTCTCTAACTGTTAAAGTTCTAGGAAGACTAGATATAAGTGGGTGAAAATGCTTGTTCATAGATTGGAAATTTGATGGTTGGGAATGGAGGTAATGACAGTTGGATACAAATTTTGGTGCTTTTAAAAAATACAATAAAATGGTATTTTTTTAATTAAAAGCCTCATTTTAAGATTTTAGTTAGACTTATGATAAAAATTGACTGTAGAGGAAGTTGTATCATATTTTTTCAGAAGGATAATCCAAAATAGATTCTCAGGTGAGAAAAATCAGAAATTAAAGGCAGCATTTTGAAATACCATTATGTGAGAAGGAATCAACTTTATTGAATATCATCAAAGTTCCATGGAAAGTGAGAAAGATCCTATGTATTCAAATCTGAAATTTCCTGAAAATGAGGACAAGGCCATACTACTGATAAAAACAAGAGTCAGTAGAATACAAAAGATCACCTGCAGCAAAACTTTCATGTCTGAGAACCTTCACATCTAGCACGTTTTCTGAAATCTATTGATTAGTTTCCAAGATAAGACATTGTGACAGATTCAAAAGTTCAAAGGAGGGTAGATAACCTTCATTAATCATTAATGGTATTTTATGGAACTCAGGATGAAGACATAATATTAATAGAGGTTAAAACTTTATCTAATAATCATTGAAAGAGTGGTGCAGAAAGAGTTGCTTTATGTTTTTTCCAAAGTAGAGCTAGGAAAATGTCTAGAAATTATAATGTAGTAGAATTTAGTTCAATGTAATGAATTTTTGTGCATGATCACAGTGAGTTCGTGGCCAACCTGAACTACAAAATGAGACTTTGTCTCAAA